AGGTCCAGCCCAAAACCAATATAGAACCTTTCTAGCCCGTACTCTCAAACTTCTAATGGAGAAAGGGCACCTTAAGCTGCTTGCTCCTCGGCCTCTCCCCTACTCATTCCCAGCAAAACATGACCGTACCTAGTATTGTGTTTTCCACCAACAACACGGTCACCCCACCGATCATTGCTATCGCCTACGTGATATTGTGGCATCTGATCAACCAAAGCCTGCAATCATACTACCGGATTCACTCAGCATCAATGCTATTGGAGATAATGGGCCTGGGCAAAGTCTGGATGACTTCCCTGAACAAGGTCATAATGACCTGGCAGAACTAGAAGAGGACTTAAAGAACCTCTACTTTTATGAGGAAGAGGATGTGGGTAGTGTTCAGATTGGGTGATGGGATCCGAGCCAACCTGAGTCAAGCCACGAGGTGGTTGAGTAGTGAAGAGGAATCCAATACAGAGGAATAGATAAAGAGAAATCTGAAAGAAGAGGAAATCAGTGAGAACAACAAATCTGGGAGCATGACTATCGCTGAGGACATGACTCTCACTGAGAATGAGCAAGCGTTGGACCAATTCCAACGAGAGAGAATAGAGGAAATACAAAGGAAAATAACCCAAGAACAAGAGAAAGGGAAGAGAAAGGAAGATGTCAAGTCAAAGGCAGACGATGTCCAAACTACAGAAAAGCCTGGATGGGAATCTAGTGACAAGGAAAAGATTTCAAAGAAACTCAGACAGTATCAAGAGAGAGAAATATTTAATCAGTCGCAGAGGAGAAGCGGCATGTCGATGGAGGGCGCAATGTGAATATGATCTTGGTAGAACCCGACAATGGCCCAACAATGACTGTAGGAGAATGGTGGAAGGACAGTGATCTGAGCCTCGCATACACTGATGAGGGATGGAAAGCTGGTACCCCAGATAATACATAGTATGCAGATGAGATTTACCACATGACCAAAAGTGGTCATTATTTCAAACCCCCATCCCTAGATCAAGCAGAACCCTCCGGGAAAGAGGCTAAGAAGTTGAAGGAGAAGGACATAGAATAAGACCTAGTATTAAGGAAACTTAAGAAAATCCAGGCAGATATATCGATTTTGGGGCTCTTGATGGCTTCCCGTGAACACAGGCAAACGTTGCTGGACGAACTGAGCAAGACCAAGCTACCTATAGACACCACAACCAACCAACTGGTGTCTTTGGTCACATCTGGGGATGTTACTCTATTATTGTCCTTCACGGACAAAGAGTTGCTGCTTGAGGGTGCCAACCATAACAAACCCTTGTATGTGACCTTGGAAAGATGAAAGAAGTGGATCCTGGTAGTGTTGGTGGACACCTGGTCAGCAATTAATGTATGTCTGGCAAGGACCGCTTATGCCATAGACTTGAACCCAACTGACTTCACGACTATGACTTAAGATGTTCAAGCTTACAACAACACCAATCGTGATGTCATGGGGACCTTTAAGAGCCAAATACTAATTGGCCCATCTAAACATGAGGTTGAACTCCATGTGATGGATGTACTAGCAACTTTCAATCTACTCTTGGGTAGACCTTGGCTGCATCAAATGAAGGCAGTTTCTTCAACAGTGCACCAACTAGTGAAGTATCCTTTCAAAGGGGGGATTGCAACTATTTATGGCAATTCTTCGATCCATCTCCCCTTAGAATCACCACACCCATGGAGAAGAGGATGTGTTCCTCTCCGGGTTCACCTAGGCAAAGCCCAGTTGGTGTAGTCTATCATGGCGGAGGATCAAGGGACTTATGTGAGTGCCCAATCCATCTATATGATGAACAAGCAAGGACACCTTCCTGGATCAGGACTAGTAGAAGTGAAAGGCAGGGAAACACTGTTGCCAAAGAAGTAAGCCATAACCCCCATGCTTTTGGGCTGGGGTACAAGCCAAATGCAGAGGATTGGAATGGAAAGGGGGATGAATTGCAGGAGAGAATTAAAGCAAAGAGAGTCGGAAGGCAATTTGAGTTGGTCCGCATGCCGATCAAGGGGACCGTAAATGGACGCTTTGCCCACGAAAGAGAAGGCTTCCCTTTCTATGGATTCCCCGAGCCGCGGGTCGATCAAGAAACAAAGAAGAGATACCCTGGGTTCGAGATCTTCTTCAATCACCAGTTATCAGATGGCGATAAGGAGAGGATCCATCCAAGCATTGATATAGGGTAAGGTACAAATGCCAACTCAGGTAGTGATGAAGGGAAATTGTTGGGGATGGCACTAGCCGACCTACTAATGGATTCCAACATCGGGGCTGAGCCTATTAACTTGGGAGATAGTGTTATTATCTCTATGAACAGGGATAAACTAGTGTCACATTACTCTGGTCTCATCGTGGACGCAACTGAGGCCCCACGCTCGGTTTGGCAATTCGAGAAGGGTGTCATTGACAGTTCTGAATCAGATGATGAGCTTGAATCTAATTCCACTAAATCCGTTGGGTCGGAATCAAATTCAAGTCCTTCTAAGGAGTCTGAGCCTGGCACATCCAGGGATGGTAACCCGGGTGCCAAGGTCCTATCTAGGTCCTCTTTTGTATTTTCTTTTGAGTCGGTTGTAACCAAGGAGCCTAAACTTTTGAATGAGAATGCCGCAGATTCTGTTTACTTCTCTTTCCCATTGATTTATTGCATTGACCAAGATTTTCAAAATTTTAATGAAAACGAAGAGGAAGAAATTCCTTAGGCTTTGAAAAACTCTATTGACCGAGAGGAGAAGAGGCGTGCTAAGCCCTACATACATGAAATCATTGCAATTAAAGTGGGTACTGAGAAGGATCCCTACTTATTCCAGATTGGGTCCACGTCGTCTTTCGAGAAACGGGAGCATTTAATCGCTTTATTAAAAGATTTCAAAGATGTTTTTGCGTAGTCCTATGAAGACATGCCTGGAATCCATCCTGAGATTGTACAAGACTGCATCCCTCTTGTCCCCGAGGCCTGACCTATCAAGCAGAAACTCCACAAGATCCATCTAGATTGGGCACTGAAGATTAAAGAGGAAGTCACCAAGTAAATTAACACTGGGTTTTTGTTGGTGTCTAAATATCCGACTTGGTTGGCCAATATTGTTCCAGTTCCAAAGAAGGATGGCAGGATTGAAGGTTGCGTCACTTCTGAGATCCGAACAAGGCTAGTCCGAAGGACGACTTTCCATTGCCACACATTGATGAATTAGTAGATTACACTGCCATCCATGCATTGCTATCGTCATGGATGGGTTTTCTGGGTATAATCACATTTTGATGGTGCCTGAGGATAGAGAGAAGACTGCATTCACTACATCGTAGGAGACCTACTGTTACCGAGTTAAGCCATTCGGGTTGAAGAACGCCAAGGCTACATATCAGAGAGTTGTAACCACAATCTTGCACGACATGATCCGTAAGGAAGTCGAAGAGTATGGGGATGACATGATTGTAAAATCCAAAGAGCGAGAAGGCCACTACACTATGCTGGAAAAGTTCTTCGAATGGATCAAAGAGTACAGACTGAGGTTGAACCCATAAAAATGGACATTTGGGGTGACTATAGGGAAGATGCTAGGATTTCTAATTACGCAGAGGGGAATTGAAGTAAATCCATCCAAGATCAAGGCCATCTTAGAAATGCCACCACCAAGGACTGAAAAGGAGGTGCGCGGCTTTCTAGGAAAAATGCAATTCATAAGACGATTTATCTCAAAATTAACCTTGACTTATGAATCACTGTCTGGTGTCTTAAAGAAGGGGAAGAAATTCTGATGGGATAATCGATGTTAGTTTGCCTTTGAATAGGTCAAGCAGTACCTTCAGAATCCATATGTATTGTCACCGCCAGAGCTGGGGAAGTCGCTGATCATGTATTTGTCGGTAACAGATTCAACCATGCAGTGCATGCTAGCTCAAGAATCAGAAGCTAAAGTGGAGAAGGCGATCTACTATATGAGCAAGAAGATACTGGATTATGAAACCCACTACACTTCTCCGGAAAAAGCTCGCTTAGCTTTGGTTTGGGCAACTAGGAAGTTGAGACACTACTTATTAGCTCATTTTGTAATTCTGGTTTCGAGATTAGATCCCATCAAATATCTCTTTGAGAAACTGGCACTTACAAATAGGCTCGCTCGTTGGTTTCTCCTTCTCTCTGAGTTTGACCTCAAGTATGTCACCCGCAAGTCAGTCAAAGGAAGAGCAATAGGGGAATTTCTGGCAGACCACCCAGTAGAAGGAGATGAAGTAGTAGAGTACCTATTTTCGAATGAGGAGATTCTATAGGTAGAAGAGCAGACATGGACAATGTGCTTTGATGGAGTAGCTAATTAGTACGGTTATGGGATAGGCATGTTGCTGATAGCACCTGACAATTCCCATATACCCCTAGCCTTCAAACTCCAGTTCAAAGTGTCCAACAATGAAGCAGAATATGAGGCGTGTATCGCTGGATTAGAAGCTGCCCTAGAACTAGGGACAATAAGGTTGGACGTCATCAGAGACTCGAACCTAGTTGTTTCTCAAACCAACGGAGACTGGAAGGTCAAAGAAGAGAAAATGAAGATTTATCATCTGGCCCTGGACATTCTGTTTCTAAGGTTTGAAAAACTGACATTCACATATCTGCAGAGAGAGAACAACCGGTTTGCTAATGTGCTGGCAACTCTATCCTCCATGGTAGAGATACCGCTCAGGGTTAAGGTGCCTCCAATCATCACTGAATAGAAATATACGCCTTCTTATGAGATGATAGCCGCAATAGATAAAGTTCAAGATAAGAACCCCAAGTATTATGACTTTTGGAATTTTCTAAAAAAGGATGTTTATCCACCAGGGGCAAATGCCAAGGATAAACGAGAAATACGACGCCTAGCTGTCCAGTTCATCATTTGCGGAAATAAGTTGCAAAAGAGGCCATCTAGGAATGCATAAGCTCTACATTGAGGAAGAGGAGTCGAAGCATCTCATGGAGGCCATCCACAGAGGAGAGTGTGGAGCACACATGAATGGTGTGATGTTGGCTAAGAAGATCCTCAGGCAAGGCTATTGGTCAACTATGGAGGAAGATTGTATCAACTTTGTTCAGCGATGCCCCAAATATCAAATTCATGCTAATCGCATGAACATCCCTGTTAAAGCTTTACAACACGACTTCACCATGTCCTTTCTCAGTCTGGAAATTGACGTCAACGGGACAGTCTCGCCAAAGGGCTCAAATGGACATGAGTTCATCTTGGTGGTGATCAACTGTTTTACCAAATGGGTGGAAGCACAGTCTTACTCAGTGTTAAAGGCATCATATGTGGCCAAGTTCATTAGAAACAACGTCATCTGCAGGTATGGGGTACCAAATGAGATCATCTCGGACAATGGCTCGCACTTCAAGAAAGTGGTGATGGATCTGCTTCAGAAATACAATGTGGCTTTTCACGAGTCATCAACGTACAGACCACAGACTAACGGAGCTATTGAAGCCACCAACAAGAATGTCAAGAACATCCTGCGAAAGATGATGGAAACTTACAAAGATTGGCCAGATAAACTACCCTTTGCACTCTAGGGATATAGAACATCTATTCGAACATCTACGGGGGCTACCCCCTACTCTCTAGTATATGGGATGGAAACTGTTTTCCCAGTTGAGATCGAAGTACCGTCGCTGAGAATCATGGTCAAGTGGTAGATAATAGAGGCAGATTGGCAGCAAAATAGATTCGAAGAATTGTTGTTGTTCAACGAGAGGAGGTTAAAGGCTATCCAAGGGTATCATCGCAGAATTGCAAGGTCCTTTAACAAGAGAGTCAAATCCAAGAATCTCAAAGGAGGAGATACGGTGCTCAAGGATAACCGAGTCCATGACCCTAAGCGCAAGTTCCAACCTAATTGGACTGCTCCCTACATTATTAAATATATCTTGTTAGGAGGAGCAATCATCCTTATGGATTTGGATGGCTTGGAGTTCTCGCAACCGATCAACGTGGACAAGTTGAAGAAATATTATCCTTGAGAGGCTTGCTAGCCTAAAAACCTAAAAGGGCGACCTAGGCAAAAGTTAGAGCATGAAAAATTGGAAATAAAGAAAAATAGAGCTCGCAAGGTTGAAAACCTAAAAAAGCGACTTTAGCAAAAGTTAGAGCGCAAAAGGAAAGAGTAAATACTCGAGTGAACCCTAACCAAACTACGTAAGACCTGACTCCCATCTTTGGGATATGTAGGCAACTTCATCCCGAAGTTCAACCATAAACATTTTCAATTCAATTGTCCTATCCATTTGTTTGATCAGTCCATCTTTTTCCGTCATCTATTAACTTGGTTGTGTTACCTCCATTTGGTAGAAAGGCAGGTTACAAGATGAAGCAGTAATGGTGAATGTAGTGGTGGGCAAGTATGATCTTTTGATTCAAGGTTGTACGTCTTAAGGATTGATTCCATGTGTGTCAAGTAGTGACCATTTCCGAAAATTGTCTTGGAAAGTTTTAATGAAGCTGATTTTCTCAAAATTTTACCTTTTTTTAACACAGACCGTTATTTGGACCAAAAAGGAAAATTTTCAATACTCACAACTTTAATTGCATGATTTCAAACACAACTATATTCTCTAACTCCCCTATTAATCAAAGTCATTTTCACATCATAAAAACTTGAAAATGAAAGTCAAAGCAATAAACTAGGGGCACAGACGAGTCAGGTGCCAGTCCTCTCCCTCCTATCTGTGTTATCAGAAGTCTCTCTAGCCAAGGATGGCCCAACCTATGCCTCATCCTCGAGCTAAGCCAAGCACTCACTGGAAAGGGCATGGCTAAAGCTAACAGTAGGGGCTAGAAGCTTTCTTGTCCTCCAAATAATGAGGTATCCAGTCAAGTGCAAAGCACGAACTAGAAATGAAGCCAGGTATTCCACCCCCTCATTTTGAAGGGTCTAATCATGCCCAAACTAACGTCTAAACTGAAATAGAAAATAGAATACAGAGTGCGTGACGCCAGTCAACTGTTGTAGATCGCCCGAACTCCGCTCTACGCGCGAAGGCACGAATTGTAGTTCTAGCTACTACAGTTCGGACTCCTGTCATGGTTCTAAATCTAATCTCACAACATGCAATGTAAGACTGATAAATCACCAAAGAGTCCAAATCCGACAAATCATCTTGGCAAATCAAATTTTGAATCAAAAAGTGCCAAACATGGACTGCTTTGCCAGATTTCAAAGTTGCCACCTAAATATTTTGTTTTGGGAAAATTTAGGAAACCCTAACTCGTACTTAAGGCCACGTGTCCGTCATCACCAAAGTTGCCTCGGCTCGGGAACTTGGGTACGAGAGGGGAAGGTCATGAAATGAGCACCCTCGCTTGCTCGATTAAAGGATCGGTCTCTACTAACAAGATATGTTGTTTTTGAAAACACATGTGCTCTTATTCCGGCTTATTAATCTAACTTACTATGTGATACGCACAGCACACAAGCATAGACTAAATCACTCGATTTGGAACAAAACATCTCATGTTTGTTTTTTGAAAATGGTTTGAAGTTGCTACTCGCAAGTAGGCTAAGTCGCGGATTTGCCACCCTCAAGTGGGCTTAAAACATGATGATTTGTCACTTCAAGTGGGCTTAAAACTCACATTTTGATGAATTGTTCCAATTCAAGCAATGAAGCCTTCATCCACAGGCATTCAGACAATTAAACACTTAAGCAGTTAGCCTCATGGCAAGCATGCTATCATGGCAACACTCACACTCATGCAAGGATGCTAAAGCGTAAACACTCACAGTGTACTCCGAGCCAAAAGAGAAGCTAGTTATTAATCATGCATGATCCTGGCTATGTTGAGATGACTAATGCAACACATGCAAAAATGCAACTAAAATAGGCTCGGCTATCTAGAATAGCATATGAATGCAACACTCGATAACATGCTTTGAAACACGTATTCAAGTAAGTATTGAAATTTAATGCAGTTTGTATGATGCGCCGAGCCCGGTGCATGCAAGACAGATGAATGGATTCAAACATGCGAGCATAAGTATGCTAATTGAAACATGCCCTAAAACTAACCATCGAAAGCTGATAAGTAAAACGGAGAAAGAAATGGGGGTTGGAAGACATGCATCACACACACACACGCTTATTACAAAATTGTGCCCTCTCGACGAAGAGTCCGAATAATAAGCTAACTAGCTAATCTAAGCTAATTAAACTAATTATTACAAAACGAAGCCAATTAACTAACAAGTTAACTAATTACAAACACAAATGAATAGCTAAGTGCATTAACTACTTAAGTACAGAACCAAATAGTTAACTAGCTAAGCAAAGCAATTAAAAGGAGCCTCGGGGCAAGAAGTGCATGTATGCTCGGTCGCCTCGTTCGGAAATCCATTACTATGCCCCAACTTGCCTCTATTTGCATTTGATTTTAGAACACTACACAAACCTCCAGATAGTTTCTACTCCATCATGGAGACCTCCAGGAAGGCTGCCGACCACTTAATGGTATTGTAGACCACCTGTAGACCACGTACACATGTTGCAGACCAGAAAAAGTGGTCGGCCAGCTACTTTTTCTGGTTTGCCAACCAGAAAATTCTGCCAAGCTCTATTTTGCTACAATGGAGAACAAGAAGGGGCACAGCAATGTATTTGCAAGGTATGTGTGCACAACCACCCTCCCTATCATTTCTTAAGCTCAAGGGAGTGCGGTACTCGACTCTCGGACCGCTAACTGAGCATCGCAATGCACGATGGCCTAGAAGCCAAGTTTGCAAAATTCAATTTTAATGAATGCACAAATAACACATAAGGGCCTTAACCTCTATCATGCATGATCAAGAGGGTCGACAACTGAGAAATGAGGCACGTTTCATCACTTCAAGTATGAAACATCCCTCATTTCTCGTGTTTGAATTGACGTCCAATCCAAACACAATGCATCATATACAACATGATCAACCTATCAATGCTAATGGCATGCACAAGATTCCAACATATGAACAATGCATGCATGGCAAGTTTAGAAGCTTGAGGCATCAAAGCTAGGAAATAGCATCTCACAAGAGGCATGGAATACATTGCTCAATGGACTTAAACCGAATATGGGCAGACCTCAGAGGCTCCAAAACAATGGCCAACACACCAAAACTTAAGCACGAAAGGGCCAAGAACACATGCTCATGTGATGGCTCATCAACTAGGCATAAGGGTCCACTCTCAAACACAATCAAAGAGTAACATGCATGAGGATATGGCAATACTATATGCTCTAAAATCAAGTGTTAAATGATGCCAAAACACACAAGTATAGCATGCAAGAGGCTCTAAGGCATAAGTCTAGTCAAGCCCATTGCACTACAACTATGCAATACATGAATCATATGGCCAAGACAACCCAAAACAGTCCAAGAGCATGCCAAATCAAGGCCAAAAACATGCATGGACTAGAGCTAACACATGCTAGAATTAGAGGCACGAAGCATGGAGCATACAAGGCCAAAGAGTAGGATTACACTACACCTACCAAAACCAAGCATGAGATGACTTCACCAACAAAAATCAGAGTTGTATCATGGAAAGATAAGACCAAAAACACACTGATATGGTAGCCCAAAAGCTTAGGCAAGATGGCATACGTATTGGCTCATGTTTAAGGCATAAAGCACCAACTCTCCAAAGCATTGAAAGAGTGACACACCTGAGTGTATGACAATGAAACATGCCCTGAAATCATGTATCAAATGATGCTAGATCATGTGAATAGCCCAAGCAATGCATGCTAGTGGCTTGGAAACTCAAAGGTATTGAGCAAGAATGCACTATGGCTATACAAAGCAAGGCATGCATGACCCAAAACACTTAAATCAGACCTAGAGCATGCTAAAACATGGCCAAAAACTTGCTGGAGTGGAGCCAAAAACATGCTAGAATGATGGTCCAAAGCATGATGCATGTTGGCCTAGCAAGGAGGATTGCATTACAAGTACATAAAGCATGCAACAAGTGATCAAACCAACCCAAAATAGAGCTAAGGCATACTGAAATAAGGTCTAAGACAGGCTAAGATGGAGCCAAAACATGCTAGAAAGACATGCTAAAACCTTAAGCATACAAGGCTTGTTTGCAAGGATTACACTACAAGTGTATAAAGCATGCAAGGGTGGCCTAAACTAAGCCAAAATAGAGGTATGTCATACTGAAATAAGGCCAAAAATAGGCTGAGATGGAGCCAAAACAAGCTTAACAAACATGCTACTTTGATGAGCCATCAACACAAGCACACAAGAGAAGAGGAGGGGGGACAACCACCACCTATTTGGGACCTCAAAACACACTTTCTACCACTGAAAATCCACTGGATTTCAGTGGCTAAAAGGCCAAACAAAGGTGGTCCCAAAGGCCTAAAGGATGGTACAAAACAAAGCCAATCAAGGCACAAAAGAGGGTAGAACACCCTCAACACCAAAGAGGCTTTAAACAAACATTTCAAACACTTGAAAATGAAGATTTTTATAGTTGAAAGCTAAGCCAAAAACATCATGCAAATAGGGCCAAAGACTTAATCAAAGACA